AAATTTGAAGATAAAAAATTTGAAAAAACTATATCGATATTAATTAGTATTAAAGTAACTACTTAAAAGTTCTCGTTGTTTTCTGTTATTTCTTTAATTCAATTTTTTATTTTAATTTAATTTAAATTTAATTTAAATTTAATTATGAAATAATTTACTTTTGATTTAATAATACAATTTTTTATAAAGATAATAATTAAGGTGGCGTTTGTTTTTTAAGAGGTGCTGAAGTCTGAAKTCTGATTTCACTTCTGATTTTTAAGAGGTGGTGCTGAAGTCTGAAATCTGAATTAATCAGACTGTTTGTTTTTACGTCTGAAGTCTGGTTCCATTAATTATGCGTCATTCTACGATGATTCTTAAAAAACCCAAACAAAAAGAAAACATATAAACAATCAACTACTTAAAAAACCCAAATCCAAGAACAATTCTTATATGTTTTGAACACAGACTCATGCTTCCTGTCGTGGGTTCTCAGAGAGATCGAGAGGTAGAAGACCGAGAGTGAAATCGAGATGCCTTTCTTGAGATATCGAGAGGAAGAAGAAGAGATCGAGATCCGAAGCTTGAGGTGTTTTAGATCGAGATTGAAATCGAGAGCTGAGATGACGGTTTTTTGTTACGACGGTGGTTGTGGTGGTTGAAAGGATGATGGCTTTGGATGCGTCGGCTTCAGCGATTGTTGATTGACGTTTAATTTCTTCTGGGAGGGTTGTTGCAVAATCAACAGATGYRAATRAGGAAAGTTTTCGGATTTTCTGAGGACGAATAGGGATTTTGGAAGGGTTTGTTTGGGGAATTCGGGAGCGATCGGAATTAGAAGATGGGTCGTCGGTTGATGGAAGTGGAGACGGCGGCGGTGGCGATGGTGATGGTTGAGAAAGAGGGGGCGGTGGCGGTGTTGGTTCAGCCATGAAAGGATGGGTGCTRMAATTGGGAGTCRGGTATACGACGGTGTTGATGGGCTGAGGACGGCGGCGGCGGTGGCGGTGGTGGTGGTGGTGGTTGAAAGAAGGAAAGGAGACGATGGTAGTGAGTGCTGGTAGTGGTGTTGTTCATTGGATATTGGGGGAAGGAGATGAAAGTCCAAAATAAGTGGTTTTCAGACTTTAATTTACATCTGAATAATTCAGATAAATTCAGCTCTTAATTAAAAAAAAAAAAAAAACACACTTAATTCCTCAATGTCTGACCGATTCAGACATAAGAGGTAATTAAGTGCTTTTTTTTTTAAAACAAACAGGGCCTAAGTATTATATTAGAACTCAATAATTATATTTTAAATTTTTTATCTTTAAAATAAGATATTTAATTATGTCTATCTGCACTTAGACATAATAAGTTGTTAGTACACACAATTACGTGTAATCTTGAATTCTAAGTAATATGTATCAACAAACAATATTTCATGAAAAAAAATAGTTTTCTAAGAATTTTTATCAAATATTTTATAATATAGTATCGATAATTTAAGGTTTTAACTATAAACTATTGATTTTTTTTGTCTTCTAACTTTAATTGCCTCCGTAACAAAGAATAATTGCACCCTTTAGATTCATGCCGACCTTTTATCTACATGCATTAATGTCCAAGAAATATATTCCAACTAAATATAAAAGCTTAATTAAATTCATTATGTATTTGATTATGACTATCTAAAATAAAATTTATGATTTAAAATAATTATGTTAAATCTTTGACTTTTGGTATTTTAAAAATCAAATAAATGAAACAGTTTTTTCCGTTAGTACGTGAGTTGATTTAAATAATTATATTATATGATTAAAGGGACTTTCTTTAAAACTCATGAAATTGAGATAATTTTGAAAATTAGTGCATCATGTGCAGGGACGGACCCATAATTTTTTTTAAACGATGGTGCCATTTGAGCATAAGAAAAAAAAATATAAGGATTTTTTTTCAAACGGTGGCACCGTTTGACTAAGAAAATGACACTAACATGATTCGAACTTGGGTGTGCGGTGGAATAAAAGCTTTGCAAACCAACTCTACCAAATAAAACTTGTTCTCATTGTAGTTTCAAAATACATACAGTGGCACACAACAAATTAATATGGTTGCACCGTTCATGAAACCTAAATTTTTTACCCTTCGGCGGAGAAACGATACGGTGGCACGTGCCACTCATGGCACTTAACTAGGTCCGCCTATGATCCTGTGTTATTTCATATGACTTTTTAATCCTAAAATAAGATTCAGAATATCAGTTAACATATATTTGTTTCACAATGTTTTTGTTTCATACGTATTTGTTTTATAATATGAATGTTTTAGCTCGTTTGTAAATCAAAATTTACACGTAAAAATTTTCATATTGTGAATCGTATACATATTAAACAAACATATTGTCAAATAAATATATGTTCATTAATATATTAAATTTTAGTTTTAAATGAGAAAAAAGTATCACGTGAAGAAATATTTTAAAATAAAAGTTCTCGTCATTATCATAATATATAAAGTTCTTAAATAAGTAATTGTTTGTATATCTAAATCCTTAGAAAATATAATTAAATACCAAATTATAATTAACATTAAGTTTGTAGCTTCGATGGATCTTAATGTATTTATAAGCATTAATTTTCATTCGAGTTTATTCTTTTATTTATATCAAATAACATTGTCATATAACTTATCAGTCAATTTTTATTGAATATAAAGTAGCTAGTTTATTGACTATTAATAGTTGGCATTTGGCTTTTTTATTGAATATATAAACGCATTCATTTTCTTACCCTTAATGAAAATTCGATTTAACATAAGTCTAAATTTATCTATTACGAGTTTACAAGTATTTAAACCGTCTTGAACGACTAATTTATTATGTGTGCACAACAACGTGTATGAAATAATTTACCGTTTAAGATAAGTGTCAAATGACACTTTATTTTTTCCACACATGGATTGTTATTACTAGCGTTATCAAATAAAATGTTAATTATTTTAGTAGTTAAATTATAAAATGCAAGACATTTTTTAATAAATGAAAATTAACGTGTACCCAAATGTGGCACACCAAACGCTTCAAATGCGATTACACGTTTGAATAAATGTCACGATGAAGGCTCAATCCAATGTGTCGTTATGCATATATAAGAAACTGGCAATCTGTATGGTGTGCTCCATACATCACTCGTTAAAGATATATTGTTAGGCAAAAGAGAAAACATTTGTTGCATTTCAGCTCGACACATTTTCTACATTTTAATTGCATCACGTCTAAGGGTTTGAAGACTTACCGGCTTGTATCGTGATTGTAGTGTTTTTTGGATCAACTTTGTAACGTGAGGGTTGTCAAAATGTCTGAAAGGCAACCCGACTTGAATGACATATTGTGTTGTCATTTGTGGTTCAACTCGGCATTATACGACTATATTTGACCTTTAGTGTCAAGTATCGGTTCGTTTGAATCCCCCCCCCCGGGACCTCAACCCCGGACACATTTTTTGGTGTGCCTTCTTAAGGTAGAATTTTCTTCCGCCGTAAGAAGAGCTTGACACATTTTGCATTGTGTCTTTCTTTTCTCGATCGTGAGAACCACCAAGTTGTAGTGATTCCAAATCTCGGACTTTCATCCGTGTTCGGCGAGAACTTGGGCAACTTGTTCGTTTGATGCATCATGTTGTTCACCGGCCATTTTGTAAGACAAAGAGAGAAAGAAATGCGAATTGTGAAGTGAATTCGAGAAATGAATACGAGTCAAATTCACAAAATATAGCGAGAAACCAAGAATTGTGAACGTTTTTTGCGTTTTTTGCGAATTGAAAACTTGATATGTAAATCTCTCAACTAAGACACATATTTATAGTGTTTAGAAGGTAAAAAGCAACAACAACAAAAAAAGGGTCAAATAACGACTAGTTTTTTGAATTTTCGGGCTGGGCCGGTCCATAAACCGGACCCAGTCGGTCCTGATCTTACGAATCTACCAAAAACTCTAATTGATCCCAGATTTCGTTCCCATAATCGGTCCTGGACCGGGCTTGCCCTTTGCCGATCCCGATTCCAATCCTCCGACGGTCCCGGCTTGTCCATCACTACCCCTGACTAGAGGTGGCCAAAAACCGGTCCCGGGCCGGGCCTTAACCGGTTACGGCCGGTCCCGATCAAGACAAAAACCATTCATAACCGTTCCCATCATAACCGGTCCCGGTTCTGGTGAAATCCCTCATAACCGGTCAAGCTTACCGGTAACTGGTTAAACCGTCCGGTCCCGGTTCCGGTCCCATAACCGGTTACGGCCGGTCCTTTGCAAAAAAAAAAAAAAAAAATTATTTTTTTCAATTTTTTGGTAATTAATAAATTTATAATATGTTATTAATATCTTTGAAATATGTTATTTTTAATATGTTTTATTATAAATATGTTTTAAAATACGTTTTGTTATATATATATATATACGTTTAATTTTATAAATACGTTTTGTTATATACGTTTGACTTTCGTTGATCGGGCCGGGCCAGGCCCATAACCGGTTACGATCTTAACTGGTTTCGGTCCGAGAAAATGCCAAAATCACCAACCGGTTCATTGCTGCCGGTCCACAATCGGTTACTACCGGTCCCTCGCCGGTTCCGATTACAGGCCTCCATCGGTTACGGGTCAGGCCGGGCCCATTTGATCATCTCTACCTCAAAAAACTTAGGATTGATTCTAGACCATTGACCAATCCCTATCCTATTCAGTTGGGTCCTAGATTCAACCTGGGCCTAGCCCAGTTTAAAAAAATATTTCTTTCAAATCTTCCTACCCACACATGTTATTAATGTTTTTTAATCACGATTTTTGAATTTTAGCATTTAAGTAAATTTAAATAATACATTACCTAGAAAATTCTCAAAATTTTTGCCAAGAAACTTGAAAATCTTGTAATCTTTTAAAAAAATTGTATTATAATTAATTCAAAATTTATTTATTTTGAAAAATAAGTCATTTACATAACCGATCCATTACTTGAGCCAGACTGAAGCTTGAAATTCCATAAAACTTGTAATCATTCTCGAACCATCATACCCCAATCGGTCCCTAGCCCGGTAAAACCATGGTAAAAATGAAACGATGGTAAAAATGAAACGATTTCTTAAAGCATGACTCTTCTAACGTATAACTTTTGATGCACAAAGTACAACACCTATTTTCCAAGAGATTGAACTTCATCACAATTTCACATATAATTTGCTCTATAAGAACACAATTGAACTTTAACATCCTCAATTGGCAAGTTCTCTTCGGGGAAATCACATGTTTTTCCACCTTGAACCGCCAATGCATCACACGGCTGAGGGGTCACATCGCTCGATATCCCTTCAATATCAGTGCAATTCCAACTCAATTTCTTGGCAAACTTCGACATTTCAATCGTCACATTTGATATGCAAATCCCAGTGAAAGGATCTCCGGAAATCCCCTCTAACCTAGCGGCCATGGTGACATTTTCAGCCACCATGTCTCTGTAGTTTATGTTTTGGATGATGGGAATAGCATTCGGGTCCCATTTGTCGTCAGGGTGGGATCCGTAGTTACCGGTCATCCAGAATGCCCACTTCATGGTTTTCATGGTGAACCCTTTTACATATATATCCTTTACGTACCCGCCTCTTCCGATACCCGTCTTGATCCTGACTCCGGACTCGGAGTTGATGGCCAAGATATCTTCGGCTCGCACGTCTTGAATACCCCCTGACATCTCGCTTCCTAACGCAATAACCGCGCTCGTTGGTGAAATGCATGTCAGCCGTCGGATCACGAGTTGTTTGGTCGGCATCCCATACGCAATCCCGTACTCATCCCAACCGCTCTTGACCGCCACGCAATCGTCCCCAGAGACAATGTAGCAGTCCTCGATTCGTGTGTTTGTGCAAGAATCTGAAAGAACAAAGGTACATCCAAGTCAAGATTTAAGTCAAATGAATCAAGTTTGACTTCCAAAATAGAACAAATTTAATTCCATCAAATTTCAAGAGAAGTTGAAAAACTACTCAAACATTGTTATAAATCCTATAACAGCAGATCCTGGTGATATTAGTGACCAAATTCATGGCATCATCCCATTTGAAAGAACATAACTTTGATTCCAAAAGTCAAAGTACCAACCAATGTAGTCATTGGAATGGAATTATTCATTACCTGGGTTGATTCCATCAGTATTAGGGGATCTAACTGGTGCAAGAATTGTAATTCCCTGAATGATGATATTGCTGCACCAACAAAAACGAACGATTTATAACAGAAAACCGAGAACAACACATGAGTAATTTGAAAGCTTCTTGCGAACCGTATTAAGCTAACCAACATGGGACCATCAATTATGTCCATACCTGCTATATATAGGGTGAACATTCCATGAGGGTGAGTCGATCAAAGTAAGATTCGATATTTGAATGTTCGTAGAGTACATGATTTCAATTAGATACGGGCGAGTGTATGTCAACTCGCCTTTGTGAAATTTGTCCCACCAAACGCCTCCTTGACCATTAATCGTCCCGTTGTTCCCTTGAAAACCAAACATCAATCGTTCAATGGATAACCACACGAAAATAAAAATACAGTTTTTGATAAAAAGCGACCAACAAAAACATAGCAGTGATACCAAAGGGTCCTCGGCCCAACAGTATCCAGGTTATTCATTAGCCTGTCAGGAGGTCGAGAGCTCAAACCTCACCAAATGTGTGGACTCTGCGTGAGTATTTGTCCTATATAAATATTATATATTAAAAAGACAATATACCAGTGATAACAACATCGGTGAGATTGGTCCCGAAGATGAGACTAATGTATCTTCCACCATCAGCATCCCGTCCACGACCATATGACGGCAAGGGGTCGATCACTGCCCACTCATTTTCATCCTAAAAAAGAAGAAAAACAATAACAATCAAAAAAGTCATCATCTGTCCAAATGCAATAGTAATGAAACCTAGCACCAAAAGGCCTACTTATTTAATCATTTGTAATGTATATACATATAAATTATATGCATATTACGGTGTGGGTACTCTGTTTTTTTTTGGCTCAATCTGGCTGTTTGCACTTGAATGTTCTGTAGCAGTGGTTATGAGACACTATATTTTTCAATGACAATGATCAAATATACAAATATTTCAAGATTTATAAACTGAAATGACAAATGGGTAATCATCAAATTTAGTGAAACAGTGAAGAATATGATTAACTTAAACCTGAGTAGCAAGAAGAACAGCATCTTGATGAAGAAAGAGAGTGAAATGACTGGTGAGATTGAAACTTCCAGTCAACCATTTGCCTGGAGGAACATAGAGCAGTGAACCACCACCGCTGGATCCATATTGACTGAGATGATCAATGGCTGTCTGAAAAGCTTTGGTGTTTGAGGTTGTACCATCACCAACACCTCCAAAATCAGTCAATGAAGCAGTATGAGCTCTGCAACTTATGGCAGAGTATTCAAAACAGCCTTTGATATTGTTGTGGTGATGTCTTCTTCTGCCATTAACATTTTTGGCACTCAAGAAAGCCAAAACAAGAACCAAAACTACCTTCATTACCTGCAGATTCATCAAAAAAAAAGTTTCAAGAACCATTAAAGCACAAGTCATATTTGAGAATTTATTGAATTCATGAAAAACAACATCAAGAACCATGTGAAAAACAAGAATCAAAACCACCTTCGTCACGTGTGAATGAATTCTTGAAAAGGAACATCATGAAGACAAGAACCATTTGAAAAGGAAACAAAGTGTGGGATTTTGCAAAACCCCTATTATAAAATGGGAATCTTTTGTTCTTCAAAAACGACATTAAAACCTACAAATTGATGGCGGAAAAACCCTTCAAGAACTCTTACAAACGAAGCCAATTGGGAATTTTGCAAAAACCCTATTAAAAAATGGGGTTTTTTTTTTTCCAAAACAAGAATGAAAACCACCTTCATCACCTCTAATTCATTGAGAAAAACCTTGAGAAACCATGCGAAGAAGATGCTTAATTTAAGAATTTTGCAAAAACCCAAATAGATAACAAGAATCTTGGCGCTAGAATCCTAACCAAATTGCAAGATTCTCAAAACCCTATCTTTGTGATCGGGGGTTTCTACAAGAGATGAAGTAATTGAATGTGGCACTCCAATAGGAAAGAGAAATGGACTACATACATGTAATTTTGTAGGGCTATTGAGCAACTCCATTGGAAGGAAATCTTTAAAGGATTTCTAGTTCTGAAATGGGGAGGAGGGATCATGGGGTACATATAGGGATGGAGATACCATGTTCTTCGTAAAAAAAGGGTAACTGCTTTTCTGTTGCTTTCATCCTCCTAGATGGAGTGTAAAAGTTTGGAACTTGGAGTCTTCGAAAACTGGCTATTACCAAAAGTCAAAAACAACCCGTGAAGTTTTCTCAACCAATTGGAACTATGCTATGATCTTGACTCAAATTTCAGGGAAAGTATTTAAATTTCTCATTTTCATTTATATAATAATTTTATTATGGTTTTTATTAGGAATATCCACATAGTCATCCAATTAAATTTAGACGGATTAATCATAATTCAATGTCCAATTATAAATGGATCAAATCGGATTCAATATTGAAATATATAAATCGGATTGGTCGGTTCTTGAATGACATTATAGAATCCAATAAAATCGAACTGATCCAATCCAATGATCATTCAATTAGTCATCCAAGTACCATCCAATTAACCATTTAATTATCATCCAATTATTAATTTTATATAATAAACATTTTACAATATCGTTTTTAATTGATATTTATAAATAAATTAAGAAAATATATAAATAATTTGTTGAAAATTGTATCAAAATACTAAATAGATCTAATGGAAAACCAATAGTAATATCAACTTGATAGAACTGATCTGATTCAATCATCCATTAGATTGATTGTATTGTATTAGATTGGATGAGATGACAAAATCCAACATCTATCAAATGATTGGGTCGCATTGAATCTATCTAAATCCATTGGATTTCAACCGATGAACATTTTAGTTATTACATCCATTTATTCTGTACTCATAATACTTCATAAAATCTAAGTATAATTTAATAAATCAAGTTTAAATTTTTTATAGTTAATATTGACATTTTATTTTGTAAACATTAAAGATACTTCATATATTTATGAAACACACCATACATAAATCATGGGACATTGAATGTAGTTTCATATTATAAAAATCAAGCAATTGATAAACGAGATATAAAGTTGATTCCCATATAATATAAAATAAAATAAAATATTAAAAAAGACATTTAAAAATTATAGTTTTCATACCGTAATCTTAATAATGTATTTTTGTCCAATCATTTTTTACAGAAGTTAGCAAGTGGTAACATACTTTCACATCTTGTTTTCATATGTAAACAATTGGCAAATCATGTGAAGTCTGTTACGTTGACGTCCTCCATGTTTTCAAGATGGGGACCTTCAAATGGTCCATCTATCCCTTTTAAGGGTTTTTAGCAAGTCTCGTATGCAGAAACTATTACATAGTGTTGGTTTTTTCGATATTTAAATCAAACAAAATAATTAAAATTTGATGAAAAGAATTGATTATTTCAATTATCTTGAAATCCTTTGAATTCAATGAAATAAACAGTGTTTTAAACTGCTAGCATCATGTTTATTTAGATAGATTAGATAATGGAAAGAAAAGGTAAGTGGAGATGCTTAAAAACTTAGAGAAGATGACAAGATGGGAGTGGGTTAGAAAGGTCACGGGATGGTGGAAAGAAAAGGCAGGGACAAAAGGAAGTGTGATTAACTTAACCCCACTCAACCCATGATCGGCCGGCCGGCCAGCCTGCCTGTGGCGGTCCTTCTGTCACGTGACTTATCACGTGTATTGGTTTTGTGGAAGGTGACAATGACTCTTTGGCCCTACCATGGAATGTTCATCCATTTACCAATAATCTACCTTTTTTTTCCACCAATCAGATTTACGTCATTCCTTTTTATATACATTATTTATCCCTTTTTTTGGAACTCGGTTTATATAAAAAAAACCTCTTAGAGTCTCATGGAAATTATACCTTCTTAATAACACCAACCCTTTAATATTAAATGAATTTTTTAAAAGTTTAGACCTTGGTATTTGGGTGTTTATGCTGGGTTATGATTGATACACATATCGGGTTAGGTTCAGAGGAAATTAAAATCGTAAAAAAAATGAAAAACTGAAGAGCACTCTGGTAGCCGTTCATCTGGATAGTATGCACTTGTGCATATAAGTAATTGAAGTTGTTTCTTTGTTTTATGTATGTGTGCATGTTATATCCCTCCCTCCCTCCCTCCCCCTTCTCTCTCTATATATATATATATATCTATACCACATGCATATATAAGCATTTAGGTCATTATCTTAAATACAAGTCCTTAAGCATAAGTTACAACCATTTTATGCAACAAATTCAAAAAACTCTTAATTACTAAATATTATGCATAAGATCCAAGTTGTATATGCAATGGTTCCACTAACACCAAAAATTACCCATCTTGGGCCTGTATCTTCTTCAGTTTTTCTTTTCTTCTTCTGTTTCCTAACTCTTCTACCACAAGACCAACAACTTTCCTCTTCTTCTTATCTTTTCTCTACGACCACAAAACAAAAAGACAATTTTGGTTAGAAAACAGAGCCCTTTCTTCTTCACAGGACATAACAGTGGTGGTATGGATGTATCACCTCGATCAAAGAACCGATTTCATGTATCAAAGTGATTTGATGTATCACAACCTAATTGATACATATAGCTCCCTCCTCCCTGTTGATTTAATTTCACAGGTTCTTCAAAACCCTAGATTTTGGAGGTATGCTTTCTTTCTGTTCCGATTTCATCTTATATACACACATCTGTTTCTTCATTGATTTTTGTGTGTATGTTTCCTTTTGATTTTTGTGGGTGAAGAGCAGCTTTGGAAACTGGGGATCTGAAGAAGATGCTCGGTAAGAACCCATGGATTTTCTTTATGATGTTCAAAAAGAAAAAATTGGGGATCTGAAGAAGATCCTCGGTAAAACAAACGAGGTTCCGGCGAGAGAGACGCGAAGTTCTGTAAGGGTGGTTGCCCCTCTCCTGCCACCACATGATCGAATCATGTTGAGCCTGTGAGTTTGCCCTTGATTTTCGACAAAAAAGCAACAGCCCTTGAAATTATAGAAAAAGAAATCTATATATAT